TATGCTATAATTAGATTGTTGTTGTCGTTGTGTGAAATTTATTTCAATTTCTCCTGCGACATTTTGATTGGATACTAAATATAAACTTTGCTGTGGGTGGAAAGCGATCAGGTTAAGTTTTGTGTCAGGCTCTATTTGTAAAATAGAGCCTGATATTCAGGTTAGTTTTTTTCAATAATTAGTGTGACAACAGACGCCATTTTGGCAGCAGCCCGCAACCACCCGGAGAAAATAGGGTCGCACAGTCAATCACGTTGAAAAAATAATAGGGTCGGCAGAAAAAAATAGGGTCATCGGGAACCGGAACCACAGATACTTTTTTTTTACGCCTTGTAAACATGCAAAAATATGTAGGTGCGGTCGTAGACGTTTGTGGGAGTGGCGGCGATACAAATTTTTAATGCGATGCCACAGTTCGGTGAGATCCGTAATATCAATTCTGCTCTCGTTCATCCAGTCTAAGCTTTCAAAAAAGTTATTTTTCTCAATCTGGTCAGTCTACTTAAATAGGTTGGTTATTTTTTAAAATGACGTAGTATTTTTGTAAAACTGATTTAGTTTATTGCCATGATCTTAAATCTTGAAGTCATCTTGTTGAAAAGCTCAACTGTGTTGTTATCTAATTAAATGTACACTTTACGTCTAGTTATAATAATTTGGATGACTTTAACGCTCCCTAGAGGCCCAGGCCACTCCCCAAAGCCACACACTTTAATATCAACACAGCCACCTACTCAGAATAATTTTGAAAGCCCTGCCAATATTCATAATCTTATTACTACTGTGATCACACTTAAAAGCCAAACAATTAAACAAATGAAACAATATATATAATTACTATATTCTAGTTGCAAAAACAGATACACATCAAAAATAGTTATAATGCCAAATGCACATGTTGAATATAAGCGACAGTTGAATAGCTTCTGCAACGTGGCAAGCAGCTGTACGAAATAATATTAAACCACAAAATCTACGAATTATTACACGTCGACTGCTGGTATAATTTTCTATACCACGGAAATAGAATAGACTAAAGTAATGTTGTTTTGAAGTTTGTTTTGTGCATGAATTTCGTGTCCTACCTTGGGATCTTTCACGTAATAATCTTGCTGAGTTCGTATCCATTTTTCTGTCAAGCTATCACGAACCGTGTGGCAGAGTGCAGTAAAATAATCCCGATTTGTAGCAACATTTCTGTCCTTGATCAGTGTGAAATGCAAGTGTCTATTGAAGCTCTCTTTCACGCCCTCGACGTTTTCCAGCAAAGGGATTTTGCGAAGGGAGATGGACTTTTTCTTTTCCAAGTCGCTCTTTGGTCTTTGTGCCATGTCTTGGCGTGGCGTGAAAGCACTCCGTTCCGCCACAAAAATAAACAGAAACTTGTATGCAAAACAGCAAACAACACTCCAAGATCGGCAAGATGCAAAAGTTTTGAAGTGAAACAAACCGGGGGGGGTGTGCTTCCGGTGGGAGGTTTTGGTTGTACCAAATATGGCTACTGAAAAATACTAAAAATTCGATTTTTTACTAATCATTTTAAAATCCTCAAAATGTCTTTCTGGCAATACAACAATGTTACAATTAAAAACGCCGATCAAAAGAAATAACGGTTTGATGTTGTCGCGGGGTTGAATCCTTTTATTTTACTCGCCTGTAGTCCCCTACCACCCCACATTCCATAATGTAATCAGTCTCTGACTAACATTCTTTCATCGATCTTATATACTCCCAGTCTCCCATTACATACCATCTCAGCCAGTCAGCGTTGCTTCACTCAACTTTTTTACAACGCCTACCATCCCACATCTTCTGATTTTTCCATTCCATATCTTTTGACTAGCACTCTTTCATCTCCTCTCATTAGAGGTCTTAATTTAACGCTGGCGTACGTCTGCTATAAACCGCAAACTTCAAATCGAATTCGAAGGCAAGTTAGGTACTGTACACATTTTCGACAGCTAAGTACAGTAGCCACTTCGAACTGCCAACAGATGTCCTCAAAATACGATTTGAAGTTCGCGGTTTGCCGTAAACGTCAATCTTAAAAATTAAGGTGTCTGATCTTAAGGGCTCCATTACGTGTCCATACCATCTCATCCTTGCTTCATCTTCTCTGCAATGTCTACTACTTCACATTTTCTTCTGTTATTTTCATTCCATAATATTTCTTACTTGCTCTCATTCGTCTCGTCTTATTACATGTTCATACCGTCTCAGGCTTTGCTCTGCCACCCCACATCATCTTCTATTTTTTCATTCCATAACTTTGACTAGCACTCTTTCATCTCTTAATCTTATTGCATGTGCATCTCATCCTTGCTTCCTTCATCTTCTCTGCAATGTCTACCACCCCACATCTTCAACTGATTTTCATTCTATAATGTCTCTTACTGCCTCTCATTCATCCCGACTTATTGCATGTTCATACCGTCTCAAGCTTGTTTCTCTCATTTTCTCTGTAACATCTACCACACCATATCTTCAGTTCTGATCTCTTCATTCCAAACACGCTGAGCAAATGAAATAACGGCTTGATGTTGTCGGGGGGTTGAATTCTACCTATCTCTTCTTATTACGTGACCATATCATCTCAGCCTTGCTTCCCTCATCTTTTCTTTCATCAACGTCTACGTACCACCCCACATCTTCTTGTGATTTTTCATTCCATAATATCTCTGACTAGCACTCTTCATCTCTTCTTATTACATGTGCGTGCCATCTTAGCCTTGCCTCCCTAAATCTTTCGACAATATCTACCACCCCACAACGTCTTTTGATATTTTCATGCCATAAACTCATTCATCTCTTCTGATTACATGTTCATACCGTCTCAGCCTTGCTTCCCTCGCCTTGAACTAGACCTCTACAACATCTTCCACACCATATCTTCTGATCTCTTAATTTAGAATATTTATGATCATTAGACATCTTCTGAACACTTTATTCCTACTGTGCCTCATCTTTTCCCTCAGCAAAACACCTAGGATCCATGTGTTCATTCACATATCCGTCCTTTTCGTCAATTCTCATTCTTTATTCCGTATCATCCATTATGCAGCTTCGTATAATACCAGTAAAACTCTGGTAAAGAAATGTATATATACCAGTATAAACTCTAGTAATAGAAACATACATGAACCATTGAAATCATGTATCAGTTGGGTTCCATATAAGTATCAATAGGTTTGATGAGCCTGGCCTAGCTTATAACAGCTGTAACATTGGTTTTACTATAGATAAATTTTAATAATTCTAGTGTCAAAAGTCAATTTCATATTTAATACAGCAGTAGAATAAATTGAAAATATTAACAGCATTACAATACTGAACTGCTTTCAAAACTATTACGAACAAAATAACATCAATATTTCTTGGTATATAACGACACAAGATTGCAATAGAAAAATAGAATGACAGCTCCAATTTTATATCAAATCTTCAGGGACATCTGGGATCTATAAGAAAACAAATAATCTTCATACAACAAGCAATCTAAATACCGCATTGCATGCGTTTCGGTTAAAAACTCTTCATTATGCAACATGACAATGCCAATCTATTGGACATTTGAACAACATGTACAATTAAGGCCTAAGGTTAAAATAATTTTGAATAGTTGAACGATAAAAAAGAAGAATAAAAAATTATTGGCTATCAAAAATTCTTAATCACACTTGATACAGAATATTGTAGGCGCATGAAATACTTGATAGTTGGGTAAAAATATATATTATATTGAAAAACTCATTAATAATTCTCGAAGCAAATTCAAAAGAAATCAATGTTTAATGAGGTGTTGTATCCACACAAAATTCTCTTGATTTTGCATAAACGATTTTATCAGTTAAAATCATTTATTTTTAAATAATTTTTTAAAACCCATTAACTGCTGAAATCCTTAGTAGCTATGTTTCACAAGCTATATACAGCATTCGCGTCTGTTTTGTATCAGACATACGTCTCGCATTCGGCTCGAGTTTGTATATCTGATACAATACGGTCGCTCATGGTGTAAATAGTAATACGTATTACGTATTAACTTCAAGTTTAACTAAGCTTGACTTACAGATGCTGTAATGTCAGTCAAGTCATCGAGTGTTTTAAATTGAAGCACCATCTGCTGATAATTATAATCCAGTGAGGACAGTATTTGATAGTATTCAGCCAACAATGGAGCTTTCCTATAAGAAACATACATTATACAATTCACATATACCTATAATAGAAAGTAATATCTTCCTGTGATCACTGTCATTGACAGAACAAAAAATTCCCTGCCAATATTCCGGCATGTGGCTGACTAGGTGTGAATGAGTCAGTCTAAATGGCCCAACCATCTTAAACAACGTTGTTTAAGTTGTGTAATTAAACTTGTACAACCTTTCCCTGCTACCCTTTGTTTACCACACTGCAATTTCAGCCCATTCATTCTCCTCCCTTTATTTATTTGTTTTCTTTTGTTTCGCTTGACCAACGTAAAACAAAACCTGGATGGAATTACTTTTTATCCACAGCAGGAAAGAAGTGACCAACTGCTCGACCTTTTGGCTCTCTTCCTTCCAGTTTCAAGTCATCATCTTCGTCTGAATGAAGTAAAAACAAGATGCACATGAAAGCAAATCAATGCATGAAGATACGGAACATTTACCATAGTAAGAAATGTGTTTGAAGCATATAATAGAAAGTTATAAAGAAACACAGTAAAAATAACTATCCGGTTGATAGCGCTATCCGGTTTTCGTACACTAACCGGAAAACAGTTTAGAGCTGGTAGAGGTATCAAGTACAGTTGCTGAGCGGGCAATACAGGTGAACAACTTAAACACACTTCAAAAGAAACACGCTGTTCCATATGCATTACTGACAATGTTTTAACAAACCTTCAAATTCATCATCATCTTCTTCCTGTACTGTGTATTCACTGCCACTATCCTCATCTTCTTCGGGCTGCAGTTTTACATAATTTAAAATAATAATGCGAGGACTGTTATGTTTAAAGGCCAGGAATTTAGCATAATAAGTAAAGTCTAGGTTGTGAGAAATGTTTGGGGGAACTGACTCGATGAGTCAGAGTCATTTGTCTCAAACAGTTCCCTCAAACAGTCAATAGACCTTTCCCCTTTTGAGTGAAATTTTGATCTAGACAAGTCTGGACAAAAATTTCATCACCGCTTGAAAGAGCATCACAAAATTAGTAACATTCCGAAGTTTCGTTGCGAAATGTTGTAAAATGCGGATGATATAGCCTGCGAAGTTTGCTGTTTTTCAGTCATTTTGTATTACGCACGGGAAATTGATAATCAGATGATCAAACTGATTATCAAATTCCCGTTTGTAATACAAAATGACTGAAAATTGCAAACTTCGCAAGGCTATGTTATCCGCATTTTACAACATTTCGCAACTATCACTTCGGAATATTACTAATTTTGTGATGCTCTTTCAACCTGTAATGAAATTTTTGTCCAGGCATATCTAGAACAAAATTTCACTCATAAGGGGAGAGGTCTATTTGAGCATATTTATCATGAGAAGCAATTCTTAATTAATCAAAATTGTCAGATTCTTTACTAATAAAATTGTTAAACTATCAACTGAAGCAAATGTTTTTTGCCTTTGCAACGTGAAAGCCATTGCCTTCACTTATGCACAGGGATGGAAACGATGGTCGAGCACGCGAGCACTACTCGGAAGTTTTTATCCTCAAGTTGCGCTCCTAGTCCTGTTTATGCATATAGTTTTTAATCAGTGATGGAAATGCAGCAATACAGTAGTATGTTAATACATTCATATGTGAGGGGGCGAGGGGGCGCGTCGAGAGTCGAGCAAGCTGCAGGAGGGGTCTGAGGGCACAGTCGCTAGTGAGGGCAAGGTTGGGGGTAAGGCCCCAGGAAATTTTGAGATTTTCGATCTCATTTAGTTCAAAATTCTTATTTCAATCACACTACTGTTATTTAATCCATGAGCAATTTCTGAGGGGTGAAAATTTCCCTAGGTAGGGTGGGGAAACCTTCTGAGGACTGAGGGGGGCAATATATTTTTTTTTTGGGGGGGGTGCGCACGTCTATGTGTGAACTTCCATATTTTTACCTGAAATACGGTTTTTGTAGCTGCTTTTTTGTTTTTCTCAGTGGCAGAGAGCGTTCGTTGGAAATTATCCACCAACACAGCGACAAATAGACTGAAAAAAATGTGAGAAAAAATAAAGAATAGAAGGTAGTCCTAATGGAATAAAGCCATGTTTTACTTACTTCATGAAAATAAAGTTCTCCAAGACAATATACAGTGCTAGATAGAGTATCACATAGCCATAAGCTAAGAAATTAGGAAAGATGTTATATTGTTATTATAATTACATATAATTATAGCAAATATCGGATTTGGGGTATCTCACTCAATACAAGAGCTGGTTTTCGAGTGTAAAGACCTAACTAGGAATAGTTGCGAAAAAATGAAACTATAGGCCCTCTGGCGGAATTGAGGCCATTGAACTATAAATAAACTGGAAGGCTAACTCCTATGATGAAGGCCTATGATTTGATGAAGCCAAAATTAAATAGTTTTTCTGAGTTATGAGCAGAAATACTTGATCTCAAACGTTGGGCTATATATCAAATTGAAGCTATTGAAAATTGTTATTCTTTTTTGAAATTTCAAGACTTCAGCGAAAAGAAAAATATTTAAAAAATACAAAAACAACTGCAAAACGGCAAATTATCGGTAATTATTTTTGTAATTTTTCAATATTTCCCTTTTAGCTAAAGTCTTGAAATTTCTACATCAAATAGCGTTTTCCAATAGCTTCAATTTGATATACAGCACAGCGTTCAGTGTTGAGTATTTCTGCTCATAACTCAGAAAAACTAAAATGCACTGGCTTCAATCGCCCCCCCCCCCCTGAGTTAGCCTTCCAGTTTATTTATAGTTCAATGATTGAGGCCTATAGACTGTAGGCTATGGCAGGACTGTAGGCCTAGACCTGCGCGGCACTTCGATTCCTATTGCTCGTTTGCAATCGACGCCATCTTGGTTGATTTTCGTGGCAACTAAAAATCTATATTCTTCATTCTTAATTGTCGTATTGTGCCAGAAATCGTAAACTATCCATAATACAGTGAGATGTTTTCAAAACAAACCAAAAATATTAAAGTAACTCAACTTAGTCAACTATTTCGATGTAAACGGCTGCATGGAAAAAACTTTAAAATCAACCAAGATGGCGCATAATGACACGTAGTGACGTCATGTGCAAGCAAAGAATAGTTGCATTTTTCGCAACAGCTCCTGGTTAATACTAGGTCTAATAAATGTATAAAATCTACACCCGAAATCTCCAAGTATATCATTGATCAGACAAAACGTGAGCAAGTCTTCTAAATCTGGTTCGCACGAGTGGATTAGCAGGAATGTAAACAAGAAATGTACTCAGGGACAGAGGCCCAGGGACGTCGCTATAGGGGGGGGGG